GTTTAAATATACTGACATGAACAATATGAAACACATGAAAAAGAGGAGTCATGAAGGGTAAGAAACTGTGTTAGAGAGTAATCAGGGAGAGTCCAAGAGCACAGAGACCAGGGCGGTGATGAACACAGAACAGAGAGTCCTGAATGAGAATTCCCAGATGATGGAGATGCAAAGTAAACAAATATCCTGTTCAGAGTCAAGAAGTCAAGAAGAACTCCAAGTCAGGAAGTTTCAAGGTTTAGGAAATAAGGTTGGTGGTGGTGAAGTGGAACCAGGACATTACACTGCAGATCAATCCAGTCAATTACAGGGAGAGAGTTGTTATAAGTAGTTAGCAAAATGACCTCATTAAAGAAAATATAGGGAGCAAAGCCAAAAACGAGATACCCTACACTGGGCATCGTTTTTCTTCAGAGACTTCTGAGCTATTATTACCGTTATTCATATTTATTCTTCACCTGATTCTAGGAAGATGAATTGTAAGATATTAAAGATGATAAAAACTCTTAGGGTTTATTTACTACAAACTCTTTTTACAAATTGCTAAAGCACAGACCAGTAAAGAAAATAAACATGACTGACTCAAACAATGAACCCCAAGATAGTCAAGTCTAGGAACACTGACCTTTCCATCCCCATCTCAGGGCTTTTCTTAGCACACAAAAAAGTGACACTCCCTTTTAATAGATACACTAACCATCCATATTAAAGCTTACATTATTCAGTAAATAATAACTGAAAAGTAAGTTTTGTCTGAAGTTACATACTCTTTATAAAATCATGGAGGGTCTTTGAGGGTTTTTTAGAATTCTTTACTTTCATATGCCATTCTACCCCTCAAACACACACACACACACACAAACACTCATTCTTAAGAAGAGTATTTATATTTTCATGCAAAAAGTTTTAAATAAATATTTGACTATAACAATCAATGACTTTTAAATTATTACTATTTCTTTATTGTCTGGAGGTGGGGGGAGGAAAGTCTTACAACTTTATCACCAGAGATATTTTTTTTTTGAGACAGAGAGAGAAAGCATGGGAGGAGGTAGAGAGAGAGAGAGAGAGGGAATAAGAAAGATATATATTCTTGACAGAATCTTTCCATATTACAGTCTTCCTGCTCCAGCTTCCAGTTAGCTGGAATCACAGGCACCCACCACTGCATTGGTCCTGTTTAGGTTGGGCAAGGTCTCAAACCTGGTTCTCCCCTGTGTCCTCGAACCCAGTGCAAAGAATTCAGAAATCCTCAGCCACAGTGCAGCAGCACTATCCCACTGATGCCTACCACAGTTGGGCCATAAGGTATCTTTAAATAATTTTATATTGTGAACAAACATTTATCCCTCTAAAATTCATTATACATTAAATGTAGATAATAGTAAGGAGGTATGAGTCTATACATGAACTCATACATCCAGTAAATAATAACTAACTCTCTGAAAAAAAAATAAGACCTCCATTGTTGAACTTTACTACATTATCAGTGACAGGTTAAAGTAGATTATTTCTACTCCCTATTGCAGTGCTAATATTACTGAGTTTGAGGATTTGTACCAAATATAGTTTTCAGGCTGTGTGCCATAAACTTTCAGGAAGTGCCATTTTCATTTCCGTCCACATGAATGGAAGCTCCAGGACTTAAAGAGTATTAATGCTGTGATGTCATCTGTGGTGCTATTCAGGAAGACTACATCTCACAAGGAACGTCATGATATACGGATAGTATTAAGCCACCCAACCCAATAAAGCATCATCCTACATTTAGCTACAATTGCCCAGAACCCCCCATGTTGTCTGAGAATGGAAGATTCCTTTTTACTCTGGCTAAGAATAGCCCTTTTACTATTTAGACACCATCTTAATGTAGTAAGAATTCTGCTCAATAACTGTTTAGTTTTCAGTGAGGGGTCTGGGAACAAACCCAATAACAGTTGGAGGAAGGAGAGTATGGTGACAAGTTCAGATGTCTAAAAGGAGATAGAAAAGGAACTAAAAATTGAAGAATAGATTGCACAGAAAGCAGTCCAGTGAAAAGGTTGTATGCATGAAGGCATATTGACAAAAATCAAGAATTAAAAAGACACAATGTTAATCCAGATGATGTTAAGAATAACATTTTGTCTTAATTAATAATGAATTAAAACATATTCTCGCATGTACAGGTTTTGGTATTGATTCCTATTATGACTAACACAGTTTTGAGTTACAATCTATGAGAAATCTTTTACAGGTTCTGAACTTACTTAGGGTAATCAAACTACTGTGACATTGGGCCAGATGATGATGTAGTGTAAACACCATGGACCCACATGGGAAGGTGCCCAGTTTGCATCCCAAGGCCTTCCTGTCTGTGCCAGGGACATGATACATATGCCTAGGATCTGGCTGGTTTAAGCTGGGATATGGCATAGACACTCTGCTGGGGGTATCTCTCTCTCTCTCTCTCTGAAAAAATAAATACTTAATAAAAAAACCGTGACAGATATTTGATATCTCCATTCCAAGACAGGCAGGGACATTAATAGAGAGAGTCATGGATTAAGAAAGAGAAACAGGGCTAGTCAGTGGTGTAGTGATTAAGGCAGCTGGATCTCACTTGGCTGACCATGTGGTTCAAGTCCCAGATTTGACGACTTGAGAAACACTCCAGGAACATGTGTGTGCATGCCCAAAATCCTGAGATGAGGGAAGGATGGAGAAGAAGGGATTGCAAACTGATCATACCCCATGGGGAGTATTTCTTCTCTGTCTTTCACTCTCTCTCTCTTTCCCCAGTGAGTGCCCTCTGGCAAGTTGAAAGAGAGAGAGAGAAACAGAAATAAATTGGGGGAGGGGAGAAAGAAGAAAGAAAGAAAGAAAGAAAGAAAGAAAGAAAGAAAGAAAGAAAGAAAGAAAGAAAGAAAGAAAGAAAGAAAGAAAAAAAGAAAGAAAGAAAGAAAGAAAGAAAGAAAGAAAGAAAGAAAGAAAGAAAGAGGAATAAAGAAAAAGAAAAAAGAAAGAAAGAGAAAAAAGAAAGAAGAAAAAAGGAAGAAAGAAAAAAGAAAGGAAGGAAGAGAAAGGAAGGAAGAAAGAAAGAGGAATGAAAAGGAAGAGAAAGAGAAAAGAAAGAAGGAAAGAAAGTGAAAAAGAAAAGAAGGAAGGAAAGAAGAGAAAGAAGGAAAAAGAAAGAAAGAAAGAAAGAAAGAAAGAAAGAAAGAAAGAAAGAAAGAAAGAAAGAAAGAAAGAAAGAAAGAAAGAAAGAAAGAAAGAAAGAAAGAAGAGAGAGAGAGGAAGGAAGGAAGGAAGGAAGGAAGGAAGGAAGGAAGGAAAAGAGAAGGGCAGACAAGAGCAACATTTCAAGGTTCTTTGTAGGTTTGAATTTTATTTTTTCAATATTCTCTAGTTTTAGAAGAAATAATCATATAGGAGAAGTTATTTATTTTAAAGTTAGGGACTCAGACTCAGCTTGACTCAAACCCAGAAATGATGGATACACTTCAGCCCTTGAAGTGTAGTTCTTTAAATGTCTCTCTAAAGTCTTCC